GGGAGAACGCATGCAAACTGGGAAACCAAAGAAAAGTAGAACCCTCAAGGACAAAGTGCAGCCTGAGTCCCTCATGCCCTCTAACACTGATCTTGTGGGTGACCTCCAGAGGAAGCTGGTGTCTCTGTCATGTTTCTGCAGATGTTCTTGGCCTAGGCCTGCAAGAAGCTTGAGGAACATTCCAGGAGGACCCAGAGAAGCTTATACAATTCTAGTCTTTGGTTTTATCATACCCATTTTAAAAGCCAGAAAAAATGGGAAAAAGAAATTGAAAAACGACAATCACAGAGGCAATCTTGCAGAAATGTGAACTACACATAGTTTGCCAACTTGAAGTGATAGGAGTGTACCAGTAATTAGGGAATATATATTCTTTTGATCTATAAATGAAATGTTTGTAAAATTTTACTATTAATTTTTTAAGTAATGCATTTATATCAATTTTAAAGTGCATATGTGACATCTCCCACTTCTTTTTTAAACATCTGGTTCACCTGTGAATGAATCACTGTTGACCAGTTTCTGTACATTTCAGATATTCTGTGTACACAGACAACTTCACATAGATCTCTTTTTATCTCCCACATTAACAAAGTAATATTAACTAACATTTCTACTTTTTTCTAAAAATGTACAAGTTTTACAAAGATTCCCATCCTCACTCCTACCAGCTAACACATTGCTACAGAATCTTTACCTCCGCCTTCAGATTAATCACTATTATAATTATTTCATAATCATTATTTTATTTGTTCAGAGTTTGTTGAGATTTTTATGCATTTCCATCCTTTTTTCTGGGATAAGCTAACTTCTTTCTTTACTTTTCTATTTTCTTTTCTTTCTGCTCCCCTCTGCCCCGTTTCTTTTTTGCGGGTGATTGAACTTGGCCTCATGCTAAGCATATGTTCTACCACTAAGCTGTACATCCTGCCCCAAATTTCTTTATTTTTTTAAAGTACTTTTCTTTAAAAAGTCTTTCAGTGAAGAATTGGAAACAGTCTGGCTTTTCTGAACATATCTTTGTTTCATCTTTCCTGATGGGAAATTTAGCTCTGTATAACATCCTAGAATCACTTTATTTTCTTAGTGTGCTGACTGACAGTGTTATTCCAATGTATATGACTTCCAATTTTGTAGAAATCTCTTTCCATTTATTTAAATCTTCTTTAATTTGTTCGTAGCTGTTTGTGTTGAATTGTTCTTCAAAGAAATGTTAAAATCCTGACTTCTAGTATCTCAGAATGCTACCTTATTTGTAAATTGAAACCAAATCAAAATAAGGTTCTGGGGTGGGCCCTAATCCAAAGTGGCCCTGGTCCTTATACAAAGAGGACATGTTGGATAGAAACAGACTTGCCCAGAGGGAAGAGGGCACAAGTACAAACAGGGACAGGACAGCCACCAGCTGGAGTGATGGTGCCTACAAATGAAGCAGCACCAAGGATTGCTGGAAAGCACCAGGGGCTCACGTAGGTAAGGAGTCGAACCCGGTGTCACCAGAAAGTGCACGGCCCTACTGCCACCTTGGTCTTGGACTTCTGTTCTCTAGAACTGTGAGACAATAAATTTCTATGGCTTCAGGGTACCTAGTTTTTGACACTTTGTGATAGCAGCCCTGGGCAACTAATACAGCAGGGCTTTGTGGCCTGGGATGTACATGTTTTGCACTATTTTTTATTAGATGTATTCATGAAAATTTCATGATTTTGGATGTTCTTGTAAATATTAGTTTTGAAATTAATTTGCCAATTGTTCACTGATAATTCTCTGAGATGTAGTTCACTTGCAACTCTGCTAAGTTCACGTATTAGTCATCATGAGTTTTTTGTAGCTTCTGTAGGAATTTAAATTTACACAATCATATTACTTCTTGTTTTGAAATGTGTACACCACTCATTTCTCTTCTTTTCTGTGTTCCTATTCTGTCTAGCACATGCAGGACAATGTTGAACAGAAGGCTCATACTTGTAGTAAACCTCTTTTACTTGTTTACTTGTGTCAGGGGGAAAACATTCAATATTTCATAATTAAGTATAATGTTAACCATAGAATTTTTATAGATTCCTTTTATCAGTTTGAGGAAGCTCCTTTCTTGTATTATGCTAAGATATTCATCATGAATGTGGTTTACCCTTTTTCAAATGGTTTCTCTACATCTGTTGAAGCACTGTAATTTTCAACTTGCGTTTACTAAGTGAAATAACTTCAGTGTACACAAACGTTAGAAATTGTAGGATATAAAAGATAAAACTAACAAGTGTGGGAAACTTTAGTGGCCAAAATTTAAAATTTTATAGAACTGAAAGACAAATGGACTAAATATCATCTACATGGTTAATAACACAGTGCTATAAAACATGCCAGTTCTTCCTATATTAATGTTTTGTTTCAGTGCAATTCAAGTAAAAAATCCCAATAGAATGATTTTGTGCAGTTTGACAACCTGAATCCAAAATTTATATGGAAAAGCAAAAGGGCAAGATTAAAGGTGCAAATACAGCAATAGGGGAATAGATTTGCTTTTCAGTACATTGTGCTATGGTAATGCAGCCAGCGAGCTACGGTTACGGATAAACAGTCTGTGCACAGGAAAAAGTAAAGGACCAGAGCGAGACTTGCAGAGAAGTTATGTTTATTTATGACAGAGATGCCAGGATAGATTATTGATACATAATCTGCTGAATGAATAAATAAAGCTGAAATATGTGCCATCCATATGAAAAAATACATACAAACTCAATTCATGATGTAGAGGATATAACTACAAAAAAAGCAAGCTTTTTAAACTTTTCAGAAGAAAGCATAGGAGACAATTCTCATATAGAAAAATTTAAGACACTCAAAATATTGAGTTTAATAGAAGAGATTAATATAGTAATTAAAACTCAACTTGGACTCATGAAAATGTGAAAAGGCAAGATCAAATAGAGACTATATAACTGCAATATATGTAAATTTTATAGGATTAAATCAAAACAGATCTAGAGACAGAGGGAGGGAGGAGGGTAGGAAGGGGATGGGAATAAAAAGAATCAAAATATATTAAAGACATGTAGTACTCCCTAAGATGAATGTAAAGATTATGTATGCAAATGTCTACTAATAAAAACTTTTTTAAAATTTCAGTCTAAAATGAGCCTGTAAGATATAAGAGGAAGCAGTTTTTATTAATCATATATGCTACTCTGACACATACACCCACATACTTGGGACAGCTCACAAAGATGGGCAATATGAACTTTGTCTTTTTCTGGTGTTATATTTGATTTGCTCTTGTCTAATATAAAAAGCTTGTAATTTGTATGTTCTACTTGCCACAGTAATCATTGCCCTCATCCTTGAGTATTTACACAATGAAACTTTGTTATAACTGGATAGCAGTCCTTTTCTGAACTCTCCTTCACAGTCCCATCTGTGTGATTCAAGTCCATTTAGAATGTTTGTCCTAATTTTGTATATCCTTTTCTGACTGGTCTGTTGGGAAGCTGTCAGATATGTTCAAGCTTCAAGATCACTTGAGGCTATTAGAGCCTTGAGTTGTGTCTAAACTGTACGACATCAGGGTGCATAAGGAAAATTGTAGTGCAGGTTCTTTTGGTGGTAGTCATACAAGGATGACTTCTTCCTCATCAGTAAAAGAAGAAAACGGCCTGTGCAATTCCTGGCAACGGAGTCTTTTCCCATCCTAAAAGGGCAAGAATTAAAGCAGACAGATAAAAGGAAAAAAGCTATGGAGTTATTTCTAAGAGCAGGTTGTAAATGTTGGGGGCATTCTTAGGACATTTGATTATCTCTGGTTTAGACGTGTGCAACATGAGCTCTCCGCGTTTTTAGAAGCCACAAAGGAAAACCTTTATTTTCTGATGAAACTTGGTTTCGTCTGTTAAATGAATGATGTGTATAAGAAGAAAGACAAAACAAGTCATGCTTGGAAATAGTGACAGTGTCTTCATTCACCTTGAAATGTTTTCTGGCACCACAGAAGGGAGAATGCCTTAATAAGAGATTTTATTGTGTAAGGTATTTTAAATCCTGAGGCACATGTGAGAGAAAACACAAAACAAACAATAACATCTTAATTGCCATACATAATATATTTCAGGATGAAGTGTGAAGTTATAACTTGCCATAATCATTGGTGCTTTGATTTTTTTTCTTTGTACTTTTTTTTTTGGTACCGGGGATCGAACTCGGATCCTTGCGCTTTCGAGGCAGGCGCTGGAACCACTGAACTAAATCCCTGGCCCGGTGCTTTGATTTTATCTGTCATGTTAGGATTAACATTTAAAATGGTATGTTATTGATTCATTTTGTAGGAAAAAATACACACATGATGCTCATAAATTATAATAACAGTGATCTTATGTTGTTTCTTAGAAAATAGCACAATTCACTACTTGATGTATGGGTTTTATGCATGATTTATTTCTTCTGAAAGCAGTTGAAAAATAGCTAAATTAAATAGTAAAAAAAAAAGGAAGATTAAGAACTCTTCAGTGGATTTGCTTTTCTTAAACTTATCTTCTATAAGCATAATGAAGAAATAATTGGATATATTGAATTTATCATACATATTAGGAAAACATACCTTAATACTTTTGAAAACAAATCATTGTTTCTGTTTTGAAATTTGCCTGGTCTTAAGTGCCTTTGTCCAAAAGCATCTAATACTAACTTATTGTCCAATAGATTTTATTAATCAACATCATGCAATTTACATAGTTATTTCATATTTTTCTAGTTTTAAACCACTTAGACTTTATCGTACACATGACTAGAATAATTCTTGTGTTTATTGTTAATTTCTCATCACCCACATTCTCACATCATGTAATGTGTGTGAAAATAAGTGTTGGTGAACTCATAGTGACATTCTTTCTCTCTCTATTTTTATTCTTAAGAGTCATTTAAAATCCTTTCATTTGTTTTTTACGTGGTTGAGGTTTTTTTCCCCCTTAATCAGTCCATAGTTACAATTATTGCTATTATTGCCTTCACAGGGTCAAAAAGAATAAGTGATAGTGAAATCTCCGATTACGATTGTGATGATGGAATTGGTGTAGTATCAGGTAAGAATTTTAGAATTATTTTATAATATAAAAAAGCAGAGTGCAGGCATTTTGTAAATGGTCAGGGAACCAAGAGATGAAGAGAGGGGAAGGGAAAGGAGCATGAAAAGAGCAAGATGTGCTGGGTACATGTGTGAGTCCCACAGTGAATGTAATCATGATGTGCTGCAAAACTGTGCTGGTCAAAATTCAAGAAGACAGCATATTTTATCATTATTTACCATTGAATATTTACCATTGAAAGACAAAGAAAGAGCAAAAGAGCAAGGAGAGAGAGAAAGAGGAGAGAGAGAGAGAGAGAGAGAGAGAGAGAGAGCGAGAGCGAGCGAGAGAGAGAGAAATAACTTGCTACATCCCCTGAAACAAAATCAAACAACTTGTGGCAGTTTAAAGTCCTGAACAAGAGATTAGATTGGGTATTCTTGAAAGCTGCCAAATGACTAAATTATTTGTAGGTTTTCTATTTTAAAACAGCTAAATATGGACTTTACAATAAGAGGATTTAGTACATAATTGAAAATTCTTTATAATGAGATGTCACTATGAAAAAAGATGAAATCTTTTTGAAAGTACAAACATCTTTTGATACTACCAAACTTGAAAATGTCAATTATTTGAATGGGATGCTTAAAAACTTTTTCACTATTTTTATATTAAGTGTCATGTGTAGCTATATTTTGAAATTACAGTAGTGCAGTTTCAATTATTGTGTCATTTTATGTTTAGAAGTTTACTCGATTTGATATTTAGGTAAGTAGATATGTTCTCTTAATTCTGACAAATATATGCATATATGATATCTTTAATATTGTAGCATTTCTACTCTTCTTGAAACTTAAATAACCTAACAAATTTTGTACTCATGATTAATTTTACTCTGTGCAGAATATGATCTGTCATGTGTGGACACTCTGCACTTGCATCAGTAACTATGAGTGTCTGTGAGATAGGCTTGGCAGAGTATGGGTCAGTTAGTGGGCCTGTATTAGTGCGCTGCTTTTATACTACTACTGCTTTGCCTGTTATAAAACTAGGGGTGAATCATATTTTGCTAAGACTGCAGAAGTATTGTGTTCTATATTTTATAAATTAAACCTCAATAAAATGGTCTTTAAAATTTTTTTCATTGTTTCTTTTGTAGAGATCATTAGAATTTTTTTTATTTATATGCTATTGCTTTTTTTGAATGTTCTATTTTTTCTCTGTTCTAAATATCTATCCACATCATATATTTTTCTGGGGTTTTTCTTGCTTAAATTCTTTTACTGGTACATTTTAGGTATACAGTACATTTACATTTATCTTTGGGTGCTTGTACCTGTACATGATGTATCTTGGTTCTTATTTTTTACCCATTACCTGTGCGCCCTTCAGCCCCTCCACCCTTCCCTATTTACAAAGACTTTGTTTCCATTTTTTTCTTTTCTCATAATTTTTCCTTTCCATTCTTCCCTTTCCCCATCTCCTCCCACCACCCCTACCCCTTTGGACCTTTTCCTA